ACTACAATTTACCACAATGCAGCAGCTCCCCTCCCACTTCCCCGATAGTTACCTCTTCCCTGTGTCCATCCCTCCATGCACTCCTGCCCCCTGAGCTGTCTCCCTGTGCATAAACAGCCCTTCTTTCTCCCATGATTGTTCTCTCCAAGGAGTGTATCTACCTCAGGTAAATGTCCAACTCAAATGCCTGTCTTTTGTTTGGCTGGAAGCCACAGGTGTGGGTTCAATTCCAGACCTGAAGGGCAGTTAGGGGCCATAGTCTCAGTGGTTCCACCAGGCTCTATCAGACCAGCAAAGCTGGTCCCCCCCTTTTTTTTCTCCAAGTGATTCTGAGTTTTGTTCCACCTTGTTCTTCCTCTCTACCCAGGATCTCCTCCATAGATCTCCCTCTGAGTGGTTGACATTGGTAGCTGGGCACCATCTAGTTCTTCTGGTCCCATACTCATATAGGCTACAGATTGCATGGTGTACCAGTCACTGGGACTAATTGTTTCCATGAATTTTTGGTTTTCTTCATTCTTCTTTGCTTTGGATAAGGAGAGATCCATCAATGCATCTAGATGGCTGCTTGCAAGTTTTTAAGATCCCAGTTGCTACTGCTGAGCTCGTTTTGTTTATGAATTGTGTTATCACTTCCTTCGTTGCTACTGTTTTAGTATCTGCTAAACATTTGTGTTGGTCCTCTTTTTTATTTTGATGTGAAGGTTTATTATTTTTCTTTGAGGTTACCCTATGATTTATAGTTTTCTTCCCAAGTTTAGAATAGTCCATTCTATCTTGTAGTTGTCTTGACTTCCCTACCATCTAGAAGTTCTGTAATGACACAGTTTTTTCCCTCTTTTTGGTTTGTAGTTGTCCTCATTTGTCAATTGATGTCTCTGGTTCCCTTTTCACAATCTTGTAGGCTTATTTGCTTTGGATACTTCCATAGCTGGGTTGGTTTCTGGGTTATATCATGTGTGTTAATGGTCAGTTGTTGTTCGCTATTGTTGCTTCTCTGTCCAACGGGCTCCCTTTAGCATCTCTTGTAAGGTTGATCTGGTTTTAAAAAATTTCCTTAATTTCCGTTTATCTGGCAATGTCCTAATTTCACCATCATATTTGAGGGGCAATTTTGCTGGGTACATAATTCTAGGTTGGAAAATTTTGTCTTTCAGGGTTTAATATATACCATCCCATCGTTTTCTCGCCTGCATGGTTTCTGCCAAGAAATTCGAGCCCCTTGTAGGTAACTTTTCGTTTTTCCCGTGCTGCTTTCATGATTCTTTGTCTTTGGTTTTGGTAAGTTTGATGATATGTCTGGGTGATTTTCTTTCGGGGTCTATCCTGTTTGAGGTTCATTGGACTTCCTGAATGGATATATTCTCATCATACCAGGAAAATTCTCTTCCAACAGATCTTTGAAAGCTTTCTCTGTGGTTTTATTTGTCTCCTGTTCTAGAATTCCAATTACACGTAGGTTATTCCTTTTGATGGTATCCCACATGAACCTTAGGCTTACTTCATTTTGTTTTGATCTTTTTTCTGATTGATCCCTTGCCAAAGAAGTGTTCAGGTATTTGCCTTCAATCTCACTAATTCTGGCTTGCATTGATTCAATTCTGCTCCTTTGCCCATTCAATGTCCTATCTATTTCTGAAAATTTAGTATTAATCTTCTGGATTTGTGTGTGTAGATTCTGTATCATTTTTAATTCATTTAGTCATTTTGTTCTTTTATTGTCTTTCAAAAAATTTCCTCAATTTTGTCAGTGTTTTTCTTGGTCTGTCTCTCAATTCATTGAACCACCTAAATATAATTCTTTTGAATTCTTTATCAGGGAGTTCCAGTGCTGCATCCTCCTCAGGGATGTGTTTTGGGTCTGTATCCTGGTCACTTGTTTCTCCTGGTGTATCTTGTTTCTTTGTGTGGACTGTGATACTATGTTGTCTCCAAGGCATTGTGACGTTTTTATTTAGTTGGTGATTGTATGTTGGAGTGACTTGCGCACAATTTTCGTTTTCTTTGTATGTTATCTACGCAAGAAGGGTACTGTGCTGTGCTTCTCTATTCACTGGTTGACAGCACTTATACACTCACCACCTCTTTCCTTTCCTGTTGTCAGCCTCTCATATGTCCATGCTGACCTTGGCAAACAGGGCTTATTCTTAGTTCCCTGGAATCCAAATGAGAATGCTGTCACTTTAAAATCCAAAATGGTTGCCACATGTAAACAATCAAAATGGCTGTGCCTTCCAGACAGTGGAAAGCCAACAGCTCAGGCTGTCTTCCTCCCTGCTGTTTCCCTTCCTAGTCATAGGCTACCAGTTCTCCCTGCAGCCCTTGGTGACTTTAGGTCAATTCTCAGGTCCCAACACCACTTGGAAATATTCAGGCTGTTGGTCCCATCAGAGTAGCTGACATTCTGCAGCTCTTCTGACCGTCTCAGTACTTACTGTTTTCATTCAGATTTTTCCACTAGTTGGTGCCTAATCCACTTTTGTATAGTTCCTTTCAAAGCTCAGGGCTCTAGGATTATCTTCTGTATCTCTGTCAATTGGTTTTTCTTTCTTTCTTTAAGAGGGTCTATGTCACTTGTCTGCCTATTCCTCCATCTTACCAGAAGTATGAATCTTAAAAAATTATGTTAAGTGAAACAAGTGAGACAAAAGTCATTATCTTATATCATTCCAATTAGTTATGAGTTGCTAAATGTTCACGATACATCCTGTAAAACAGGACATTACATGATTTGGATGTTATGTGAACACCATTTTGTAGTCTACTCTTGGTTTTTGTTTAAGCATTTCAAACAAGCTTTGTGCCTTAGCATTTATTGTCAACATGCTGAGAGGAATTAGCTTGTGTGTTTGGTTCCCAATGAGAAATTTCTCCATATGTGATATAAGTCCCTGTTGCATTTTCATTAGTGTTGTAGTTTGCAGTGGAGCTGACCCTTTCTCAGCTTAGAAATTTTTTCTTTGCTTTTCAGGATCACCGTAATTATCAAATGCAACATGCCTATATTGCAAGCAACAGTATTCACTGATTTTCTACCTTCCATCAGATTAGATAATTTTAATGTGGACATTTGCTTTCATTTCTCTTGGCTATATACTAGAAGGAGCTCTTGTGGTGTAATGCTAAGGGCATTTGACTGCTAATCAGAAGGTTGGTGGTTCAAATCCACCAGCCACTCCTCAGAAGGAAGACCGGGAAATCTACTTCTGTAGAGATGCTGCCTTAGAAACCCAAGGAGGGGTCAGAAACGACTCGATGGCAGTGAGGTTTTTTTTTTTTTTAAATATACTAGAAGGAGCTCTGGTTGCACAGTGCCTAAGACATCTGACTGCCAAACAAAAAGCTGGCAGTTCAAACCCACCAGCCACTCCGTGGAAGGAAGCCTAGGCAATCTACTTCCATAAAGATTCACTGCCTTGGAAACCCAATAAGGGTTGCTATGAGTTGGAATTGACTCCATGGCAGTGCGTTTGGTTTTTGGTTCTATAAGTGGAATGGCTGAGTTATATAAGTTTTCACTGAAAAACAACCTCTGTGTTGTTTAATAACCTTTTGTTTCACTTCCCAGTAGATATTTCTCCTTTGCCTCTTGCTCTGCTATCACTAACACTGATTTTGCTGCACTTGGGAGCCATGATACACTTCATGGTAATACTGTGAAAGAAATTAAACAGAGGAGTAACACTCAAGAGATGGGTGATACATGGGATTAGATGTTGTTATCTACAAGTTGAAGCATACACTGTTACATGGTAAAATTTTTAGATAGAAAGTATGTACATATGTAAGCCAGTAATATAGGCATTTATTATGACTATCAAGAAATATGTGTAAGTTACATATGTACTGTACCATTATACACCTGGCAGCACAATCACTTTGTATGCAAGAAACATGAGACACATGTGCTGTGTGTGGGAAGCTGCTGCATTCAGTAAGTCCTGATCTCCAACTGGGATTTCTGAATGCTATTATAAACTTATGGGACCATGCATATGTATGTCATTAGACATTGCTCAAATGGATGTTATGCAGTGCATGACTGTATATGAAATGTCTAGAAAAGGCAAATCCAGAGAGACAAGAAATAGATTAGTTGTTGCCAGGAGCTAAGGGAAGAAGATAATGAAGAGTGACTACCAATGGGTATAGGATTTCTTACTGTGGTTATGAAAACGTTCTGAAATTAAGTAGTGGTGATCATACCACTCTCTGTGAATATACTAAAAAACGCTGACATGAACACTTAATATTATAATTATAGGTACATAAAGCTGATATTCCCCTAAATTAATCTTCAGATTTAATTAATTTCAATCTAAAATCCTGGTAAACCTTTTTTGGGGGGTGGAAACTGGCCATGTTGGTACGAAAATTCATAGGAAAATGCAAAGGACCAAGATCGCTAAGACAAATTTAAAAATGAACCAGGCCTGGAGAACTATCAGATATTAAGAAGTAAATCAGAGTTGACGTGTTTTTAAAACTGAAGTCCTCATGTTGCAGTTCCAAGAATACGACCACACACATGTTGAAAAAATGAACTACAATGTCAGTGCATTTTCAATCAAAAGCCAGAAGGAAGAAAGGTTAGATGCAAGCTTAACAATAAAGGATCAAGCAGGCAGAAGTTATGGAAAAAGTTGTTCCACTTGGGACAAAAGGGCAGAGACAAAGGGTTTTTGTTTTGTTTTTAAATATGAATAAGTGCTTAAAAACAAAAACTATCCTACTCTAGTCATTCACTATAGCTGTCCATACATGCTGATCTGCAATGGCTCAAAGTAACCAAGCACAGAAAAATTATGTGACAGAAATTTAGTGGACAGCTTTTAAGGGGAATCACCCAACTGTAGCAAGGGATAAGATCATTTTGCCTCTAATTTTGTTAAAAACTAGAACAAGATAGTCTTTTTAAGATTTGAAAACAAGTATGACCCCATAATTTTTTAAAAATATTTTTACTTCCATGAATTTGTCATTATCTACTGAATACAAACCTGTTCCTTTTCTAGAAGACCTGCCTTTAGTCACTGCTGGTTTCTTCTTCACAGCTGGTGCTTGAGTAGAATGTTCCCTCCATCTCCTGAGCTGGAAATTAATGAACTTCCACATCATGAATGCTTGAGTAATACAAATAGATGCCAGAACAGCAATTCTGAGAACATTTAGAAAGAAAGAAAAATCAGAGTGCACCAACACAATGCCAAATAGAAATTAAATAGAATACCTCCCTATTTAAGAAGAAATCATTAAACACATTATAGGTTCAGCCATGCTAATCTTCTGAAATAATTGCTTTTTCCAACTCTTTTTTTTTTTTTTAAAACGGGAACGAAATGAAGGTTTTTAATTTTAGGGACTGATATTCTAACTTCCTTTCTGAATTACTATGGATGACTGACTCAGTCTTTTATTTTCAATCATTTGTAACACTGAGGTTGCCAGAATAAAACGAAAACATGTTTTTTTTAAAACAAGAATGAAATACATAAAGAAATTAATGTTGAAATTCCCATTCTGCCTACAACATTATGTTAATAAGTAATTATTCCATTAATAATTTATCCCAGAAATTAAATAAATGCTTTCATACTTCAATTTTCTACATATGTCTACATATGGAACTAAAACAGGTATTTTAAACCACATCAAATGAGCATTTTCCCAAACCTCCATATTTATCTCTTTGCTTCTAGGATGATCCACATCATAGAGAAAATGATAATATATAAAAGTATACATTATTTAATGTCCACGATACATTCTGTGAAATAGGATATTATGCAATTTGAACACTCTGTGAACACCATTATTATATACAGGCAGTCTTTGTACAATCTGTATAGTTAAATCCTCATGAAGCCAATTATGCTAAAACCTTAAGGGAGCCCACTGGACAATGCCTGAGAGCTGAGAGCTGTATCCACTAGATAAAGGAGCTGGCCTTGCTGGACATGCGGATGGGCCAGGCAGGGGCTGCACTGGCAGCTGGATCAGGACTTTGCACATGTATAGGTGTGGCAAGGGCTCCTGAAGAGGTGGCCCTAAGGACTGGACAGGGAGTAGGTTGCAGGTACTGGGAGTGTGGTTGGCAGTGGGGACCCTGGCTGCCACTGCAGCTACATGGTGCAGCTACTTCCTGATCATGTGCACCTGCTGCTGCTGCCGGGAGCCAGAAGACCGCACACCCTGGATCTGGCTGGCACCATCAATGCCTGTAGCAGGAACAGAGAAGCCTTGACAGGTGCTATCTGTCCTGCACTTGGACTGAATGGCTGCCTGGCTGCTAGACAGGTGAATGAAGCGAGGAGGAGGGGAAGGAGGAGGCAGAGGAAGAGGTGCTACCAGGAATGGATGTGCCCTGGAGGCCCACTGTTCATTCACTCTGGGGATCTGGGGTCTTTAAAACTATTAGGGGGAAATAACAAACAAAAAGAGAGCACAGAAGTATAGGCGGCTGAACACTGTTCAAAGGACATTAAGCGATGCACACCTGTATTATATAGCAGTGAAAAAAAGCATTAAATCGACTGTACCTAACACCCAATACATTAAAGTTTCCAGTGCTGAAATCAAGCTTCTGATTCTCTGCTCTCGCAAGGCCAAAGCCAACAGTGAGTACTGAAAGGATTAAAGTCAGTAGTCTTCCCAAAACAAACAGCACTGCCCAGAGAGAAAATCTGTAAGAAAAATGTCTCAAGTCAAAATTCATAAAATCACAAAGACAAGAAAAGATTCTAGCAGGAATTATATTCTTATTAAGTAAATGCATACTAAAATAGTATTTCCTATTGTTCTTAAAAAAAAAAAAAAAAGAATTCTATACTCAAATGTTTGATAAATGGTACATAGTTAATCACATTCTTGGAGACAGTAACACACATTTAAAGTTCTAAGGAGTCTAGTAAAGAAATCTGTTTCATTCTATTTAAAGTTCCTCAGAACTACTGGCAGATAGAATTTTTTTAAAAAACTGCTGCACAAAACAAAAAGAAAACCCTGTTGTAAAGAATACGACATCCAGTTTCCATCTCAGGGTCCTGGTTTCTCTTTTGCTTGTCTTTTCTTAAGGCCTTATACTCCTTACAAGTCTTAGTTCTCCAATTCTGTTCTGAGTCCAATTTTGCCATCAAAAATATTTCAGTAATCTTTATACTAAGGCTAGGTAGTCTATCACTAAATTTTCTTCTAAAAGTTCATTTCTCTATTACTCCGTCTGCAAAAGAAACATGCAATAAACAAGGTAGGAGAGGTTATAAAAGTAAACCCCCCAAAATGTTCAAAATTGTCAAGTTCCAATTCAGTCTCCATTTTAGAGAGTAATATAGCAACTCTAAATTGCTGAATAGCTTCATTTTATTTAAAGATTCTAAAGTAACATAAGTCTCTACCTCAAGGACTTTAGCAACCTAGGCAACAACTTCAAGTATCTGCTACACAAGAAATAAAATGGTTAAATAACTTACCCTTTCTGATACTTTTCATCACTAAAATAAAACAGGCGGGAAATGTGGAAAAGAAATTCAACAAAATAATGCAGCACCAAAAGAACAAGTCCTAGATGATTCAAGCTGTTAAAAAGACAAATTTTAAATGGAAAGATTAATTATCAATTAAAACAGATTAGCTTACTACCTGCCCAGTCCATATATATAGCCAAGAAAAGTCCCAACTCACTTCAGAAGATAAGCTCCTGCAATGTGAAAGAGGTAAAGACCAATGTAGACAAGCTGACGAGGAATATCTTCCTGTTAAGACAGAAAAACGCATTATAGATTAAAACATGCCGAAATAAAACCAACTATTTCTCTTGAAGAGCAGTATGGCAGTGATAAATATGCAATGACAGAAGCAGAAAACCTTTTGTGATCTATTAGCTACATGGTGTGAGCCAGAGACTTACCTTCTCCTTACTTCAGCCATCTCCTCAGTAAAATATGAAGAATACTTAGGGGGTTTGGTTGAACCAGATGAACTCAAAATCCCTTTTGGTACTAAGATGTACAATTCTTATTATAATAAATATTACAAAGTGTTTTTTAAAATTGCAAGACAAGACCTGTTAGTGCGTTGTGAAATCAATTTAGGGGTCACAGCACCATCTTTTAAAACATGAAAATAGCACAAAAACCAAAAAACCCACTGCCATCGAGTCGACTCTAACTTACAACAAGCAATCCTACAGTAGAGGGTAGAACTGCCTACAGGGTTTCCAAATCTGTAAACTTTATGGAAGGTGACGGTCACATCCTTCTCCCCTGAAACAGCTGGTTGGTTCAAACTACTGACCTTTTGGTTTGCTGATGAGTGCTTTAAAAACTGTGACACTAGGCCTCTTTAACACTCATGATTTGAATGTAAAATCTATTTTTTATATTCCTGACTTGCAGTGAAAAATGTCTGAAATACACCGACTTAGATGAGTTCAATCAATACATGTTGATAAATGAAATAAACACCTCACCCTACTCTCCCTGATTTTGGCAATTTTCTTTATAAGCCTAGTTAGTGCTATTCAAAGGAGTCCTGCTGGCATAATGGTAAAGTGCTCTGCAGCTAACCAATTTTTTTTTCTTTTCTAATTTGTAGCATGATTTTTTTTTTTTTTAAATTTTATTTTGATTTGGGTGAAGATTTACAGAGTAAATTCACTTTTCATACAGCAGTTCACATAATATTTGTCTCATGTCATTGACCAAAATTTACAATGCAACAGCTCCCCTCCCACTTCCTCCCCATAGTTACCTCTTGCCAGTGTCCATCCCTCCATACTCTTCTGCACCCTGAGCTGTCTCCCTGTGCATAAGCAGCCCTTCCTTCTCCCATGATTGTTCTCTCCAGGGCATGTGTCTACTTGAGGTAAATGTTTAATTCACATGCCTGTACTTTGTTTGGCTGGAAACCACAGGTGTGGCTTCAATTCCAGACCTGCAGGGCAGCTAGGGGCCATAGTCTCAGTGGTTCCACCAGGCTCTATTGGACCAGCAAACCTGGTCCCCACCTTCTTTTTTTTTTTTTTGCCTCCAAATGATTTTGAGTTTTGTTCCACATTGTTCTTCCTCTCTTGTAGCATGATTTTTAAAGTAAGCTATTTTATCTAGATTTTATTGAGAAAATGCTGCTTTTATACTAAGTATCCTTGTCCTTGGCTAACTCCCGTTCACCTTCCAGTCCCTACAGGTTAGTTCCAATGGCATGACACCTACATGCCTTAGGCCAAAACCAAAGACTTAAACACAGCTCCATGTTCTCTGGGGTACACATGTTTACATGGAGTGTGGAGAATGGGAGAGAAGAGGTTTGGCCTTCTTACAGGGAGTTCATGAGATCAGTCCACTGGCTACAATACAGATTTAGGTTAGGAAGTTAGTATGCCTCATCTGCTGGTAGGTGATCACTGCTCTAGGATCTAGAATCTACGTGAATAAAGAAGTGGCTAAGAGAATGCTATTTTGGTTTCTTAAGACAGTTTCATTTTTCCTAAGAATTGCCAAGGTTTTTTTTTTTTTTTTTCTTTCATCCACATTAATGTGTATTTACCCTCTACTTAGTGGTTTAACTTCCCTTCTCCACCCAACTCTGGTAACCATTAAAGGCTATTTCTTTTTTTGTGAAACTTTTTTCTTGACTTTTAACAATAGTGGTTTCATATAATATCTGTCCTTTGTGATTGACTAATTTCACAACATAATGTTCTTTAAGTTCATCTGTGCTATGAGATGGTTCATAGATTCATCATTGTTCTTTAACATTGTGTTGTATTCCATTGTGTGTATGTACCATAGTTCGTTGATCCATTCCTCTGCTGATGGGCATTTAGGTTGTTTTCATATTTTTGCCATTGTGAACAGTGCTATAATGAACATGGGTGTGTACATATCTGTTAACATCATGGCTCATATTTCTCTAAGATATACATAAATACCTAGTAGTGGGAATGTATCATAATGGTATTTCTATTTCCTGCTTTTAAAGCGAGTGCCATACCATTTTCCACAGAGATTGTACCACTTTACAGTCTCACCAGCAGTGTATGAGGGTTCCAGTCTCTCCACATCCTTGCCAGCATTTATAATTTTCTGGTTTTTTTTTTTTTAACTCTGCTATTACCCCTGGGGTAAGAGATATGTCATTATTTTGATTTACATCTCTCTAACAGTTAATGAATACATTTCTTCATGTGTCTGTTGGCTGCCTATCTTTAGTGAAGTTTCTGTTCATGTCCTCTACCTATTTTTTAAACTGGATTATTTGTCTTTTTGTTGTTGAAGTTTTCTACATATTTTAGAGATTATTAGTCCCTTGTCCAATATGTCGTTGCCAAAAACCTTTTCCCAGTCTGTAGGTTCTCTTTTACTTTTCGGGTGAACTCCTGATGTGCACAAGTGTCTAAGTTTTGGAGGTCCCAGTCATCTCTTTTGTCTTCTGGTGTTTGTGCATTTTAATTACGTTTGATATGTATTTATGCCTTATATTAGGGCTCCTAAGTTTGTCCCTATTTTTAATTTGATGGTCAGTATAGTTTTAGGTTTTACATTTAGGTTTTTGATCCATTTTTAGTTTTTATATATGGTGTGAGATATAGGTCCTGTTTCATTTTTCTGCAAATGGATATCCAATTCTGCCAGCACCATTTATTAAAGATAAGTATCTCTTCCCCATTCAATGAGTTTGGCCCCTTGTCAGGGACCAGCTGTCCAAAGGTAGATGGATTTACTTCTGGGTTCTCAATTATGTTCCATTGTTCTGTAAGTCTGTCACTGTACCAGGCCCAGGTTGTTTTAACTTCTGTGGCTGTATAGTAGGTTTTAAGATTGGGGCGTATGAAGGCTTCCTACTTTGTTCTTTTTCAGTAGAGCTTTACTAACCTGGGGTCTCTTTCCTTTACACATAAAGTTAGTGATTATTTTTTCCATCTCTTTAAAGGAAGATGATGGATTACTGATCAGGATTGTGTTATATCTATTGATCGCTTTGGGTAGTATTGACATTTTCATGTTAAGTCTTCCTATCCATGAGCATAGTATAATCTTCCACTTATGTAGGTCTCTTGGCTCCCTGTAATAGTGTTTTGTAGTTTACTTTGTATGTCTTTTGTGCCTCTGGTTAGATTTATTCCTAAGTACTTTATCTATGGTTTACTTTATACTAGTTCATTTTTACAGAAGTCATACACTAGTACCTGTTTTTGTTAACCAAAAGAAAACTGAAATCTGAAGATTTTCATTTTGAAAAAAGGCAAAAAGCAAACTAGTGTTCAGTGTTTGTTTCGCAGTAAGCCATTAAAGAGGCAACTAGCACCTTGAGCAGAGAAGTGGCTTTGCCAAGCTTCTTCCCCAAAACTACATTCAGCTTCTCAGTATCAAGCCACATACTTTAAACTCTATCTGTGAACACTGTATGTTAATGATATTTTAGGTTTTATGTGTTTCTTGGTAAGATCTGGCAGGTTATTTTTTGGGTCTGAGAATGTACAAAACTTTTCCCCAGATAAATTAATGGTAACAGCTTCTTTGCCATTTTGGCTTATGTAAGGTTTCACAGGAATACTTTACTTTCAGACACAGGGAAAACTTGTATTGCAAATGCTATGCAAATATATGTATGTATAACTAAACCAAATATATATGGTGAAATAAAATGTTTCATTCATCCTAATAACTTGTACATTCAAATTGGTTAAGGAGTAGTATTTTGAATCTTAAGGACAAAATGGAAGACTGTTTATATTGAAACATACAACGGATGTGTAATTTAAAATTTTCTCCTCAAAGAACCTGTTATGACCAGCACATTTCCTTTTCTCTTTTCTTCAAATTTCATTTCCTTTGTTGTTGTTAAGAGCAGCACACTTCTTGAACTGCTAACAGCATTCCTTTGTTCAGCTATCCGGAGGATTTGTTTAAAACAATCACTGTACTAGTTTCTTACAAAAAAATTCTTCCAAAAATAATTTTCATAGGGTAAATTTTAAGTAACTGTTTAACACATATGCAGCTGTTACTTTCAAATTATGTTAATTACTTGTAACAGTTACTTTCAACTGTCATATGTAGGTGTTAAAAATAGTTTCATTTAAGTTCTAAGTTATGCAGATTATTCCATAAAAATCAGACTGTGTTTCTGGAGAAATGCCATCTGGCAGGAACTGCTAAAGAGCTTCGGCAATGAAAATGAACAATTACTTTGTCCTCTTTACTATAGTCAATGAGCAAGATAGAGATGTATAGATTAATAATGAAACGAGATATTATGGGAATTATATCCATGGGTATACAAATACCTAAAGAAAGCTTTAAATATTTGTATCATGACAGTAATACATCAGGGGGCAGTGGTGGTTCAGTGGTAGAATTCTTGCCTTCCAAATGAGAGATCTGGGTTCTATTCCCAGACAATGTACCACAACACGTACAGACACTACCTGTCAGTGAAAGTCTGTATGTTGCTATGTTACTGAACAGGTTTCAGCAAAGATTCTAGACTAAGAGGGACCAGGAAGAAAGATCTGATGATCTATTTCTGAAAAATTACCCAGTGAAAACCCTCTGGATCACAAGGATTCAATCTTACTATGTGTGGTGTCATCATGAATCAGGGGTCAACTCAATGGCAGCTAATAACTAACATAGTAAGAGACTATGATATTCTCAGTTAGGCAGTCTATTGAACTTTCTGCGGTGATAATGTTTTATATCTGCACTGTCCAAAATGATAGTCACTAACCATACATGGTTCACGAACAGTTTAAATGTGTCTTGAAAAGTGAAACTTTTGTTGTTACTAATTTTAATTTAAACTTAAATGGTAACATGAGACTAATGGCCATTGTTTTGGACAATGCAGCTCTAGGATATCTATGGTTCACATTTTGTTCTTACTAAATATAGGAGGAGTACTCAATTGTAGGAGTCCCTGGGTGATGTAAATAAATGGTTAACACACTTGCTTACTGACTGAAAGGCTGGAGGTTTGAGTCCAACCAGAGGCACCAAAATCCTATGGTGTTCTACTATAATACACCTGGGGTTGGAGTCAATCTGAAGGCAACTGGTACTAGTTCTAGAAATTGTGGTCCTAATAATTCGATCTGATCTTAAGATAATTCTAAGTCAAAGGTTTAAAAATATAAGAGGATGTGGTAGTTCGGTTTGTGTGTCAACTTGGCTGGGCCTGTTTGGTTGGTTGGGCGGTGGTGGTAGTTATTCCCCATGATGAGACTGGCAATCAACTCCATGGTGGGATCTACCACAAGCAGCTGAGTAGCTGCCTTTGGGATGTAGTCTGCTTCCTGTATATAAGGAGAAGCCCTGGGAATGGTCTCTAGCTTGTGGCATGCTTGGACCCTGCATGTAGCTGTGTTATTGCTCAGCAGCCTGCTATGCTCCCCTGACCTTGGGACTTAAAATGGACTTAAGTTAATGGCCTGCCGTGTGGTTTGGTAACATCGGGACTGTGCCTTTTTACTTGTCAACCTTGGGTCTTCTGAGCCTCAGCAGCCAGCAGCTGTCTGAGTGAAGAAAGGCCTCTAGCTCCAGTGGGCTGGGAGCAGGAGGTAGAGCTGAACCCCAAGGTTGAGGGGCTTTCACCCAACCCCTAGAGCCTGGCACTTTGAACTTGGACTTAAAGCCTCTAAATCATAAGAATAAACTCCTGTTTGTTAAGGCCATCCCATTTGTGGTATATTCCTGTTAGCGTGGCACTAGGTAATCAGAACAGAGGATCTTCGTTCAAATCCTTACCGTCAACTTAACTGGAAAACATTCTAGTTTAAAAAAGAAGTTAACATAAAAAGTACATGACCTCTAATTTGGTACTGCTACCCAATGCTAGTTGTTAGGTGCCATCAAGCTGACTGACTCATAGCGACCCTATGTACAACCGAATGAAGCACTGCTCACTCCTGCACCATCCTCACGGTCCTTGTTATGCTTGAGCCCAAAGTCACAGTCACTGGGCCAATCCAACTCACTGAGAGTCTTCTCTTTGTTCACTGACCCTCCACTTTACCAAACATGATATCCTTCTCAAGGGAATGGTCCCTTCTGACAACACGGCCATAGTAAATGAAATGAAGTCTGGCATTCTCACTTCCAAGGAGCATTCTGGCTGCACTTTTTTCGGGACAGATTTGTTCATTCTTCTGGCAGACCATGGTACTTTCAGTTTTCTTCACCAACACCAAAACCCAAATGCATCAACTCTTCTTCGGTCTTCCTTATTCATTGTCCACCTTTTACATGCATATGAGGTGACTGAGGACACCATGGCTTGGGTTAGGTACAATCTTAGTCTTCAGAGAGACATCTCTGCTCTTCAGCACTTTAAAGAGGTCTTTTGCAGCAGATTTGCCTAGTGCAATACGACATGTCAGTCTGTCACACTTGGTGGCTTGTGTGCTGCTGTGAGGCTGCAGGCTGTGCCACCGGTGTTTCAAATACCAGCAGGGTCACCTACAGTGGACAGGTTTCAGTGGAGCTTCCAGACTAAGACAGACACAGAAGAAAGAAGGGGCCATCCACTTCTCAAAGAACTGGCCAGTGAAAACCTTATGAATAGCAGTGAAACCTAATGCTAGTATATAGTATCAATGATGACAGACCTATGACACATAAAACAGACACAAAACCATAGCAAATCAAGTGCCAATACCCATAAATTAATTATTTACAGTATATATAGAAACAAGCATTTGGGAAGGCAAAGATAAAGTGGTCACCAGCAGGTTGTCACACTTCTACTTGGAAAGACCTTCCAAGTAAGGGGATTTTCAAAAAAGCTTTTTAAATATGGAAAACCATAAACATACATAGATTTTTTTTTTTTTTTTTTAACAACCTCCAGAGAAAGGGGAATAAAAGTACTTGATTAATTTATCCAGGAGGGAAAGTACTCCAGGAAAAGAACTGATGCGCTGAGTTCATAAAATAAGGGACTATCAATGTGATGTAGTATATGGAGAGAGCAAGAAAGCAAAGGCCAGGGAAGAGTAGCACAGATGGCAGAAGCCCTTCAGGTCTGCAGTTGTATCTTAGTGGGAAGCAACAAGGAGATAGTATAGTTTTAGAAGTGAAAGAGTTAAATCAAGGAAATAAAGTGGACCTTTGTGATATCATGAAAGTGTGACTTCAGAGGCACTGGGGGTTAAACTCAAAAGGAAGACATTGCAGTCCTCCAGACTCAACTATCGGTTCAAATAAACAAATTATCTTTCCTACGTGCGGCTCTCCTCAATTCAGGAAATGCTGTTCACTGTGAATACTTAACTATGGTTTACTTTTTTTTCCCAATACTGAATTTTCCTTAGGGCTTACACATAGAACTGTTAGTTTAGAGGAATCCAATAAATCTGTCCTGTCTCGCTTGTGAAATGCACTGCTACAAATAATAACAATATGAGAACAATTTTTCATGAAAAAATTGATTTCAAGTTATATTTTAAAAAGAGCCATTAGCACATCAAATGTAGAAGATCCTCCTTTAAGTTAAAATAGTGATTCAAGGTTTTTTCTGTGAAATACTCAAAGATTTAAGTCTTCATGGAAAGAGGGGAAGTGGAGGAATGTTGAGAAGGAAACAAGGATGACAGAGATGTGAGGGAATACTTAATTCAGAATGATTTTTAATAAAAAAAAAAAATTAAGCAAAATAATTTTTAAAACTATATGATCCCAGCTTACTTTTTTGGTTTTCTGGAAGTAGAGTTCTGGAAAAGCATGAAACCAGTAAGCCAACTGTGATATGTAGAAAAACTTCATTTGAAATCTGTACAACACAAGAAAGTGAGAAATATCTTTTAAATGATATTATTTAAAAAAAAAAAAAAGTAAACAAACACTAGCAAGATTAGGACATACAAAGTAGATACCTTTGTGTTATAATCTCAAGTCCTTTTATAGTACTTTGTATATCTTTAAACAGCTCTGCAACAGCTGCTTTCCTCTTTCTCCTACCATCATCAACTCTCTTGACTTAAACAACGGAAGTGAGAACATTATCTGCAGAAGGCTTTTGCTAACATGCAAACTATATGGGAGGAACTAGAGATCTTTTCTATTAGTTAATTAATTAATACTGATTAGCATGTCACATTAGCTACTGAAAGCCTAAGGAACATGATTCTGAGGAAATCAAATCACAGATCTAATAGGTTTCATGAAAAGGGAAAGGGGAAGGGCAAAAAGACTGAAACAAAAGTGAAGGCTCACAGAGTTACTACCACCCAAAACTGGAACAGTCCAAATTTCAAACATTCCTTTGACTTCTTCCTGAGGGAAACATGACAACTCTCCCTGGTTGGAACATGGAGAGAGCCCCAAACAAATGGAAGCAGAGCCAGAAGTAACGTGAGGGGAACAGGCACAGAGGAGTCCCAGGAGATAGACCCTAATCAGTCTAGAATCTAGAGAAGACCTTTCTCCTCTTCACATTATGACCCTCTAGCCCTTCTGCTTTCTCTCTATCTCCTGTCTCCTTCTGTTCTAAAAGTTAAATACAGATAACACAAAGCCCCGTAGGTGAACGGGAATATACCCACGACCATAAAAGATTTGGCAGATGATATTTCTATAATATATTTGTATGTACTATCAAAATGTCCATATACGTAACAGAGCAAACAGGAGACAAAGTTATGATAACTTCTTAGGGGCAGCCAAACACCTTAAGGGAGTCACTGGGCCCGTGGGCTCAGGCTTATGGTCATGGTGGACATCAAGTTCAATCGGCATAACATACTACAGAAAAACATTGTTCCATATCCCACTTTGGTGAGTAGCGAAAAGTTCATTAAAAGCCTACGAGCAGCCATCTAAGGTGCAACTATTGCTCCCTGTCTGGAGCAAACTAGAGTGAAGAAAGTCAGACACATGGAAATAGTCCAAGGGACTAGTGAAATAGGCGAACCTTAGCCTATACATGACCCTGAGACCAGAAGAACTAAGAGTGCCTGGGTACCACTGTCAACCACTTGGAAAGGGATCAAAATTAGAGATCCTGGAGAGAGTGGGAGAAAAATGTGGAACAAAACTCAAAATCATAAAATAGACCAAGCTTATTGGTCTGATACAAACTGGTGAAACCCCTGAAACATGGCACCTAGTCACCCTTTGGGCCTGGAACTGAACTTACTCCTGTGCCTTAACGTCTAGCTTAATGAAAGACAGGCCTATGAGGTGAATAATTATAGCAGGTAGGTACATTCCTTACAATAATCAACCGTGGGAAATCAGAAGGAAAGCATTTGTAAGGGAGAAAGTTCAGAGGCCAGGAATGCATAGGACAGAAGGACATAGGGAAGGGGTAATCACAGGGAGGAAGTGGAAAGAGCACTGTTGCACTGTGGGGATCATGAAACAATGTGTATAAACTGTTGAGCGGAACATGAATTTGTTTTGTTAACTTTTACCCAAATCAAAGATAAAATAGGGGCAAGTCTAGGGGCCCTAATTTATGGCATAAATAGACTACCAAGCATAACCCAAAATGCACAGGCAATGGAAGACAAACTAGATGACTGAGATTTAAAAAAAATTAAATTCTTATGTGCATCTAAAGACTTCTTCTAAAGGGTAAAAGAGAACCTACAGATTGGGAAAAAATATTTGGCTATGACATATCTGACAAGGGACTCATCTCCAAAATTTATAGAAAACTTCAACACCTCAACACCAAAAAGACAAAAAAAAAAAAAAAAAAAAATTAAAAATGGGCAAAAGAAATGAACAGACACTTGACTAAAGAGGATATACTGGCACCCAACAAACACATTAGGAAATGCTCACAATCATTACACGTTGTTGTTGTTGTTATGTGCCTTGGAGTTGGACCTGACTCACAGTGACCCCTCCTTGGGTTTCGGAGGTAATATCACTATTAAAGTAGATTGCTCAATCCCAACAAAAATGAGATACCATCTCATCCCAGAAATAATAGCAACAAGACAGAAAATAACAAATGTTGGCAAGTCTGTGGAGAGATTGGAACTTTCATACACTGCTAGTGGGTCTGGAAAATGGTATGGCATTTCCTTAGAAGACTGAGAATTGAGATACCATTTCATCCAGCAATTCCATTACTAGGAATATATCCTAAAGAGGTGAGAGACAGAACACAAATAGACATATGCACACCCATGCTCACTGCAGCACAATTCACTACAGCAAAGAGATGGAAACAATCTAAATGTCCATCAACAGATGACTGGATAACCAAACTATGGTACAGTCACACAATGGAATACCATGCAACATTAAAGAACAATAAAGAATACACAAGTTATCTAGCAACATGGATGAATTTCGATGACACTATGCTGAGTGAAATAAGTCAATCATAGAAGGACAAATACTGTATAAGCCCATTACTATAAAAAGTCAAGGAAGGGTTTATTCAGGGAAGGACACTCACTTTGTTGGTTACCAGGGATGGGAGGGAAGGAGAAGGAAAATCTGGAACTATTTGGGGGTCACATGTTGATTTGGGTGAGGGGAGGAATGGTAAGGAAAGAGTATGTCACCAGCATGGTGACACTGGGGAAAGGAAAAGACACCAAAATGTACACAAAAGAAATAGACAACAGAGGCAAACACTATCACAGGCACAACACTGCAGTATCACTAGCACCAAATACCAGGCTACAGATTAATGCATAGACAGGTGAGAAGAGCAGGTGGGGTAGGCGGACAGGAATACACCCTAGACCAAGAATAGATTTGGCTGAAGATAATCTTACATATGCTCTTGTGCTACAAAATTAGTCACATACATTACAGAAGCAACAGAAGACAAGGTGAGAGGAACTTTGCAGAGACAAGCAAACATCTTGTGAGAGAGAATCATCAAGCCTGGGGACTTGGGACCATAGTCTCGGGGGACACCATGATAAATTGGCACACATAGTTCATAAAAATTTTGTTCTACAACCTACTGTGGTGAGTAGTGACTGGGGTCTTAAAAGCTTTCAAGCATCCATCTAAGATGCAATTATTGGTCTCCCCTCGGCTGGAGCAAAGAAGAGTGAAGAAAATCAGTCATCTGGAAATGATTAGTCCAAAGATAAGATGGACCATGAGGACCTAAGCCTCCATGACCCGAGACCAGAAGAACTAGATGGTGACCGGCTACCAATGCCAACCGCTCGGAAAAGGATCAAACCTAGAGATCCTGGATAAAGAGGGAATAAAAATGTGGAACAAAATTCAAAAACACAAAAAGGACCAGAATTACTGGTCAGATAGAGACTGATAGAACCCCTGAGACTATGGCCCTGGGTTACCCTTTGAGCCTAGAATTGGACTCACTTCCATGGACTGTCTCTCAGCTCAACAGCAGAAAGACCTACATGCAGAACACCTACCCCAGGACTATGCACCCACCTACTCTATGGAGATGCACCCCTTGGATCAAGCAGCCATGACACCAGAGGGGTAGCATTCACATAGAAGGAAAGATGGACAGAAAGGAATGCATGGATGAGAGGGGCACAGGGAAGGGGTGAACATGGGGAGGAGAGTTTCTTATGGCTGGGGATGGTAATCAGGGCCAGGAAACCAGATGTGCATGAACTGTTGAATGTAAAACAAATTTGGTATGTAAATTTGCACCCAAAGCACAATTAAAAAAAAAAAAACCTTTACCCAAATCACAATTTAAATAAATAAATAAAACACTTCCCAATTCCCCTATATAAACACCTTTTAAAATAATCATAAAATGAAAGAATAGATCATGTGACCTTGAGACCACAACAACTGGATGGTGCCCGGCTACCAATGCCAATCACTCAGAAAGGGGGCGGGGGGAGATGAAAAGAGAATAAATCAAAACATAAATTAGGCCCTATTTTGGGGAAAAAACCCACAAAGACAATCTAAAATACTTTCTTGAGAAAACATACAGTTCCATATAAATATATTTATGTCCTTATTTTATAAAAGTTCAATACATATAAATAATTTTTTAAAATTGAAGAATGACTCAACAAAGCAGATATTTTAGTTACACTTAAAGCAAAGATATACATGGTTAGGTTTATCTTCTTCATTTCTTCATCTTTCTCTAATTCACACATCACAATATATTTACTGAGTACTCTCTAGGTGACAATCATCTACAATCTACCTAGCACAATGAAGGACATAAAATAAAAACAACAGATGGTTCCTAGTACTATCAAGACACTTACAGTCTTTGTAGACATGGGTATAATACAAAACTTACATAAATCAAACAATTATAGGACAGTCAAGATGATATATACTGTATAAAATATTATAATCCAAACTGACAGGTTGAGGGATGCAAAAGATAGGCTAAAGCAGCAAAAAGCAAAACAAAAGAAAAAACCCTAAATAGGTGTACTAGAGCTTGGCTTAAAGTATGTACTCATATGCTGAAAAAATGTTTATGCAACCACTGAGTTCCTTGCAGCAATGTACAGTCACTTTGTGAAAGTGTAAAAACATTGAAAAGATTATATATGGGAGAAAAGTACACAGAAACAGTTTTCTTATAACAATAGGGCTACTAAAGATAGACTTTCACCTATTTTATGAATTTACTAGAGGTCCTAAAGAGAAGAAAAAAAATTAAATTTGCTTAAAAGTGACGTGACTATGGTCCATAAACCAAGAAAGTTCTGCTAAAAATGACTTACGTCATCAGGTTATGAGGATAAGCCCTCCACAAGATAGTTGGGTCTGAGATGTAGTTTTCCTAAGAAAAAGGATATAAATATTAGCCTATGAGTATAATGCAAACTTCTAGAAAAATAAGGCAATATTTTTGCTTGTCACATTTACAATTTCTATGCTAGGTTCCAAAGAGTATACTAAAGTCACTACTTAGTTATTTCAGTTATTTTCAATTTAGCTTGACTTGATTACTTTAGCTGAAAAATCAGTTGAAAGATACAAAGTCAAACAAGACATGATTCTTGACCTTCAAAAATCTTTCAATCTCACAGAGTAAAAAATACATGTATGCAAACAAACATTAAACCAAACATAGAACTAGTATACGACAAAGATACAACAGCTATGGGAGAAATGAATTTTTCCTCCAGTAATAAGATAAGTGTTTTAGGGATGATACAGCACCTGACAGGAGGAAGATCAGGACACTATCGTATTTTATGGAATTATGTCCATAAACTAACCACATCTTTTTCTTAGCTATCCAGATTACATCAATCTATTCAGTAAGAATTAATGCAAATGTTAAAGAAAAATCTAACATGACTTATCTTGAATAAGATTCGAATTTTCCCACTCAAATATATTGAAGAAAGAAAAACCTTTAAAACTTAAAAAAAAAAAAAAAAAACCTCACTGCTGTCAAGACAAGTTGACTCACAGTGACCCCTCCTTGGGTTTCCGAGGTGGAATCTCTACAGAAGTAGATTGCCCAATCTTCCTTCCGGGGAGTGGCTGGTGGGTTTGAACCACCAGCCTTCCGGTTAGCAGCCAAGTGCCTTAGGCACTACGCCACCAGAGCTCCCTAAAACTTAAGTATATCCATAAAAAAAATAATTAAAGCAGCAGAGTAAAATGAAATGAGCACTAGATTACAAATCTGAAATGCTGAGTTTAGTCTACTTCCAACATTGATATACTCTAGAAAATTCATTTTATTTATATAAACTATGGAATACCACAAAAATTTACCAATTGTTATTACTACTAATAAAATAGATAATTGCCTTCCCTTCCCCATATTTAGAATGCTATAATTTAAGGTATTGATTCCCTTCACTGAAAATTCATACAACATTTTAAGCTGTTTGGAAAACATCTGTATTGGTTTTAAAATGGCTAAAAACAGTACAACACGTGTAACTCTAGTAACTAACCACTGACATCTTAGGATTTTGCTAATATGGAGATATCTGCAAATTACTACAACACACAGAAATAATATTCAGACTGACTTTGAATAAGGCTTTCTGAAACTTTTAAAACTTAAGTTTAGAATTTTTGCTGTATAAAAACTGAGAGAGAAATTTATCACTGACACTCTTAATTTATACTAGATCATTGGCAGAGTTCCTAATTTTGGATGAAGAAAAAACAACAACAACAACAAAAAAAGCTAAGGTAGATAAAAGATGGACTTGCTTTAAGGTTAGGATTTGCTTAAGAGCATTAAAAGTATGATATCTTGTGTCTGTATCCAACACAACACTTCGAGAGATGAAAATTTAATCATAGGACATACTCACAGAGATTAGAATGAATGTGCCCCAAATACAAGAGAAAAGGTAGAATGCACTAAGCTGACCAGAGTCATTAAACTTGCTGTGTTTCGTTTTGGAGAAGTGCATTCGCCTGTTAATTTTCTAAAAATAAAAACAGCCATTAGTAATTAAGAATACTTTATCAAATACATTAATATATGACTATCACAGTATAAGAGTTAGTAGTTTTCAAAGTATAGATTTCTAAGGTTGTATACTTACATCCAACACATACTCTTGAATTATGGCATGAATAATTACTGCCACTAGCATGTAGAAGAAAACTGTAGCCAAATCTTTGATACCATAGTAATAAAGGGACGCTGACTCTGTAGCTTGTTCTTCTGAAGGCCAAAAAGGACACACACAAAAAAATGCACATAAGATTATAAAAACAGCACTAAGTACAACATAGTTAAAAATAAAATAAAATAAATTAGACTAATAAATAAGTTCTACACAGGTAAGATGTCTACATTGCTCTTAGACATCTTAAGCCTAAGTGGGCAATGGAAATCAAGAAGGCTTCCTACAACTTTAAAGTTTCAGGAATTACTTACAAAGACTTGACACATGTTAGTTACAACCATCAAAGACCAATAGGGGAGGAGAGGCCACACTCAGATCCTTAACAAAGCAGTATTATCCCAAGGGGTACAGATCAGGTTAACAAAGTTATATTAGCCCATTTACCTGTCTTTCCCAAGAACTTTAGAAACTTACTATTTTTTTCTTAATTTTTATTTATTTTGTTGTTGTTACTGAGAATATATACATCAAAGTATCCCTCAGTTCAACAATTTCTACATGGATCTTGTAATGACAATGACATTAATTATATTCTTCCAGTTGTGCAACCACTCTCACCCTCCTTTTCTGAGTTGATCCTCCTCCATCAACATAAATTCACTGCCCCTTAAGGTTCCTATCTAATCTCTCATGTTGCTGTTGTCAATTTGATTCCATTTAGTTTGTAAAAGAGCATAATGTTCAAAGCAGACATTTCTCACTAGTTAAGCAAAACTACTATTTGGTTTTAAGAAGACTAGGGGATGTTTTTGGTTTAAGGTATAAAGATTATCTTAGGACAATAGTTCCAGTGGTTCATTCAGCCTCCATGGCTTCAGGAAAGTCTGGTGTCTATGAAAATGGATAATCGTGTTTTGTATTTTACCCCTTTTGATCAGGATTCATCTAGAGAATCTTTGATCAAAATGTTCAATAATGGTAGCCGGGTACCATTCAGTTCTGGTCTCACAGCAGAGAAGGCAATTGTTCATGGAGACAATAACCATATACTACATGTCCTCCACCTATTCCTGACTCTCCTTCCTCTGTCGCTGCAGGTGAATAGAGACCAACTGTGCTTTTTTGATGGCCACTTGCAAACTTTAAAGTCCCCAACCACTACACAATGAACAGAAACATCAAACATGTTATTAGGTCATTCAACTGGGATATCTCATAATATTGTGACCCTAAACTTCCAAATTCTATGAAATTTTTGATTCTGCATAAGTATCCTTGGGAGCTACTACTTTTGTTGTTGCTGTTATAAACATGTCTATCACACAACTTCTTCTAATGCACGGCCGTCGAGTTGGATCTGACTCTTAGTGACCCGCTCCTTGGGTTTCTGAGGTGGTATCGCTACGGAAGTAGATTGCCCAATCTTCCCTCCGAGGACTGGCTGGTGGGTTTGAACCACCAGCCTTCTGGTTAGCAGTCAAATGCCTTAGGCACTATGCCACCAGAGCTCCCAACTTCTTCTAGTTCCACATTTTACAGCTGTACAATTTATTGACAGCAATTACAATAACCAGATATGTAATCCTACCCTTAATTAATGTGATTTTTCCATCATCCTTAACATCCCTTTTTCCCCTCCCTACTGCCCCTGGTAGCCACTAATAAACTTTAGCCGCTATTCATTTGTCTTTCCTTATCTTTTTATGTAAGTGAGGTCATACATTTGTCCCTTTGTGGCTTGTTTCACTCAACATGTCTTCCAACTCCATTCATATTGTAGCATGTATCAACTCATTTCTCCTACGTGCTAAGTAGTATTCCATTGTATGTATTGTACTACATTTTGTTTATCCATTCATCTGTCAATGAGCATTTAAGCTGCATCAGCCTTTTCACTATTGTGAATAGAGCTGCAAGGAACATTGGTGTACAAGTTTCTTTTTGAGTCTCTTGGGTATATACCTAGGAATGGAACTGTGGAATTGCTGGGTCATACAGTAGTGTTATATTTTTAGTTTTTGAGGAAACCACCACACTGTTTTCCACAAGAGCTGTATCATTTTGCATTCTCACCAGCAACGGATAAGAGTTCCAATTTCCACACATTCTTGCCAACGTTTATTATTATTTTTTCAGTATTAGCCACCCTATCCAAACTAAAAAACTAAACTCACTGCCATTGAGTCGATTTTGACTCATAGAGACTCTATACGACAGAGCAGAACTACCCCGTAAGGTTTCTATGGCTGTAATCTTTATGGAAGCAGACTGCCACATCTTTCTCCTATGGAGCAGCTGATGGGTTCAAACTGTCGACCTCTGGGTTACCAGCCAAGCACTTGAACCACTATACCACCAACGTTCTTTTAGCCATCCTAGTGGGAGTAAAATGGTATCTCATTGTGGTTCTAATTTGCATCTCTTTGATGGCTAATGATGCTGAGCATCTTTTCATGTGTTTGGTGGCTATCTGAATGTTCTCTTTGGTGGAAGGTCTATTCAAGTCCTTTGTCCATTTTATTAAAAACTCCTTTGTCCATTTTATTAAAAGCTTATTCCTCCTCTACTTTCAAACTAGAAACTACATTTTGATTGTGACGGAAAAAAATTGATTTAACTTATATCTGATTTGGTTTTGATCTAGAAGAAATAGTGACAGCTAACACATTGTGGTAGATAAGGTTGTGTGTCAACTTGACTGGGCCTGTTTGAGTGGCTGAGCAGCTGGTGGTAGTTATTGCCCATGATGAGACTGGCAATCAACTCTGTGGTGCGATCTACCACAAGCAGCTGAGTAGCTGCCTTTGGGATGTGGTCTGCTTCCTGTATTTAAGGAGAAGCTGTAGGAATGGTCTCTAGCTTACGGCATGCTTGAACCCTGCATGTAGCCATGTCATTGTTCAGCAGCCTGCCATGCTCTGCCGACCTTGGGACTTTCAATGGACTTGAATCAACGGCCGGCCAGGTGATTTGGTAACTTCAGGACTGTGCCATTTTATTTGTCGACCTTGGGCTTATCAGCCTCAGCAGCCAGCTGCTTAAGTGAAAAGATGCTTCTTAGTTCAGTGGGCCAGGGGCAAGAGGCAGAGCTAAAGCCCAAGGTCCAGGGGCTTTCACACAGCCCCTAGAGCTTGGCACTTAGAACTCAGACTTCTAACCTCCAAAAATTCTAAGAATAAACTCCTGTTTGTTGAAGCCATCCCATTTATGGTATTTTCTGTTAGAGTAGTGCAGAGGTAACCAAAACACATTTTCTCTTAGTCACTTACAGTTGCTGTCATTTTTTAAAACAAATTTTAATCAAATACTTGTGAATCTCTTATCATTTGTTGTTCTCAAACTTATGGGTTTAGCTATGATTTAGAAAAAGAGCTTTATTCTTCTCCAGCAGATTCAAATTTCAAAACAATGTTGTAGCTTTGAGCAACCGGATGAATAAGTCATTAAACAAAAATATTTACGAATATTACAAATATTCTAGATAAATGAACAAAAATATTTACAAATATTTTATATAAATGAACAAAAGAAAACAATTCAATGTTGTATACCTGATCTTACATCCTACATTGAGAACCTCAGGATAGGTTTATTGCTGAACATGTTAATATTTTATTAACCAAATACCCCTCCCCTCACCAATGCTAGTTAATTATATTACTGTATTTCACAACAATCAACTTTCAATAACAGCTTGACTTTCATACATAAGCATACATTTTCAGCATACTTTAGAGTAAAGCTTTTTGAAATATAAACTAAAAACATAGCTTGGATGCTATTATTGGCTAATTCCTAGAGCTTATTGACATTTTCACTAATAAAAATAACTGTCAGAAGTTGAACACAATAAAATGTGAAAATAAAATAGGCTTAAAAGGATTGGTATTACAGGTCAAAAACATTAACTCAGAAAAACTAAACATGCTCATTGTGCCTTTAAAAGTCTTCACTGAACAGCGACACTTTAAATGAATTTTAAATATCTGTTCTTATTGTTTTCTTATGAAAAGATCAGAGTGGAGAGAAGACAGAAAAAAAGTTCTTTGATGACATTTCAAACTTATTCAGAATAATATATAAGTAACCATTAAACACACAAAACTTTTTCATATGAGGTACGAGGTTAAGTCAACCAACAATGTCAACTCTCGCATTACTATATCAAAATAATGTTCAGTCTAATTATGGACGAGATCTTGAAGATTAATGCAGAACCTAACATTCATGGAAATTTCCATGTCTGTTTAACTGAACTCTTCTACTTAATAGAAAATTCTAAAAGAAGGACCTACCTGTTGCAGGGAGGGTAACATTGTACTGAAGAGTAACAAAAATGATAGATGCTTTTGCTGTTATCTAAAAAGAAAAAAAAAAAAAAAGGTTCAAGTCAATTTGTGACCCTTTCCCAAATAATAATCAGGGACAAATCATGACAAAGTTCTACCACCGAATCCAATCTAGGGAACCCTAGCTCTGTTGCACCCTGAGAGGCACAATGGGAATTCCTGATCACCCAGGAGTTGATCTTAGGAATTTATATAGTTTACCATGGCACTGTGTGTGCAGTTTAGATGAGGTTCTGCAATTCACCCTAGCTTTAAGATTTCAACAGAGACATTCTGCAGTTCCATTAAACAATGATTTGACAGATCATGACTCTTTACTCTAGATCTGTACAATGAACAGAGTTGTTACCAAAGAAAAATTTTAAGTGCAAATTAAAACAAAAAGAAGCACAGTTAATACGAGTAAAATGAATCAATCTCCAACGTATCTGGCCAAGTTATTAACTCAATAAATGTTTAACTACTTAAGGGTAAAAGTAAAGTGGATAGGATGGAAAAATGGAATGCTTATTCAGTATTTAGAGGCACCAGGCACTGTGATAGGCAAGAAAGAAGAACAAAGATGAATGATATAATCCTGAATGACCAGGAGCTCAGTAAGGGAGAAAGACAGGTAAATGAATACACCCACTTCCCACTTATCAACATAATTATTGACATACCAGGTAAGTGAAAAAGAAGGATAACCACATCAGATTATAGAATTGAGTATAACATCATTACATAACTGCCAAATTACATTATTACATAACTGCAGAAACACTGAGAATCAGGGTCCACTCAAGTTGACAAATAACCTTAACCATCACAGTCAATGTTACTCTTGCCACATACCTTGGTGTGCATTACTACCACATGCACATTGGTAATGTGCAAAACAGTCAGATAGTAGATATTTTACTATCGTCATAAATGTGAAATGTCCCATAATAAGATAGTCGATAAGTGAGGAGTAGGTGTAAAATTTAACACTACAAAATCAGTAAGCTAATAGCTTATGCAATGGGGGTACTCAAGATAAATAAGTTTTTGCCTGGGATGGGGAATGAGGCATGTTCTAGAAAGTCTATGCAGAGATGGTGTTAAGAGTTGTGTCTTGCAGGAAAACAGAAGGTCCCTAAGCTCACAGAAGGGAAAGAAGATAGCAGCACAGGTAGAAGAAAACAGAAAATGCAAGTCAAGTAGCAGTAAATACTAGGCTAGGCATAATGCACTCATCATGAAGTGGGAGAAGAGTCTAGAAACATTATCAAGTGCTAGAAGGAGCCTTGTTTGTCAAGTCAAGAAGTTCAGATTTTATTCTAGTACCACTGGTGAATTTTGAGGAGGGGGAAGTTCACATATGTCTCTTAGAAAGATAGCTGGTTATTGCCCACAAGTGCTCTCTCAAGCCCCTCAGAGCCAGTCAACCAGAGGAATCTGATCATCTTATCATCTCTCATCCCACCTGCTTAAAATCCTTCACTGGATTCCCATTCTTCCAGAAATAAAGAAAAACAATCTTTACTGTGGTCTATAGAACTCTCCGGGAGCTCTGGTAGCATAGTGGCTAAGGCACTTGACTGCTCACCAGATGGCTGGCGGTTCAAACCCATCAGCCACTCCTCGGAAGGAAGGTTGGGCAATCCTACTTCCGTAGTGATACTGCCTCGGAAACCCAAGGAGGGGTCACTATGAGTCAGGGCTGACTCCACGGCACATAACAACAACAACAACAATAGAACTCTCCAGGAGGTCGAGTGGCATAGTGCCTAAGGAATTTGACTGCTCACCAGAAGGTTGGCAGTTCAAACCCACCAGCCACTTTGAGGAAACAAGATGAGGCAATCTACTTCCGTAAAGATTTATCGCCTCGGAAACCCACAGGGGTCACTATGAGTCAGAATCGACTCGATGGCAGTGAGTTTGTTTATTTATTTTTCACAGGACTCTCTATGGCCTGCTCCTGCCTTTTCGGCTTCACTAGCCTCATCTCAGATATTTCCTCCTGCTCCCTTGCTCCATTTGGGTCTTCCCACCACAGGTCTGTACATGTGCTGTTTGATCTAAAACACTGCTGGAAAACCTCTCCCCTTCAGATCATGGTTCAATCACCCCTATTCAAGAAAGCCTACCCTGTCTTCCTAGACTACCGTAATTTTCCACATATAATATGCCTATATATACAATGAGCAGCACAGTGCATATAGGAAACTAATGTGTGAGGGGGTTTCACTGTTTGCAAAAACTGTAACATATGCATTATTCCTGAAAACTATGTAGGTCATTTCTTTTGTTACATTATCTGGGAGAAATGTGCTCTTCTCTTCAAAACATGTTGTTGCTGTTAGGTGCCACTGAGTTAGTTCCAACTCACAGCAAACCTATGTGCAACAGAATCAAACACCGCCCAGTCCTGTGCCATCCTCACGATCACTGCTACATTTGAGCCCACTGCTGCAGCGTGTGTCAATCTATCTCATTGAGGGTCTTTCTCTTTTTTCACTGACCCTTTATCAAAACACACACTGTGGTGTAATTATATAAATAATTTCTCTCTTGCCCATTAATAACACCTGGGACCATGTCTACTTCTGTTCATCATTGTATGCTCAGAGCCTAGCATGGATGGTTTCAGACACATATTTAGGTGACCAATCAGTATTGTTGAATAGATACTAGATAACATGTAAGGAGCTCTGGTAGTGTAGTGGTTAAGGGATTTGGCTGCTAATCAAAAGGCCGGTGGTTCAAACCCATCAGCTGCTCCACGGAAGAAAGATGAGGCAGTCTGCTTCCATTTCCAAGATTCACAGCCTTGGAAATCCAATGGAAGTCGCTATGAGTTGGAATCAACTTGATGGCATTGAGTTAGTGAGTGAATATATAAGTTGGAGTAAACATGCAAGCCAAGTACAAGACTTCTGCAATCACTTTTAAGATATAAAATAGCAGATTAGGCACAGAAGCAAGCAAGCACAAATAAGGAAAGACTGGTACCACATGGAGAGCTCCAGGGAACTGAGAAAGAGAGAACCTCCAAGAGCCAAGGATGTTTGCCCCAGAGTTGACAAAAAGAGTATTCACCTAGAGCTGGTGCCCTGAATTTGGACTTCTAGCTTTTTAAACAGTGAAAAAATAAACTTATGTTCATTAAAACCCCCCACTTGTGGTGTTTCTTTTATAGAAGCACTGACGTGGACTCAAAGTAAAAATAACTGAGTTATTAACTGAGTACCAGGAGCTCTAGTAGCACAGTACCTAAGGCATTTGACTGCTAAGCAGAAGACTGGTGGTTCAAACCCACCAGCCACTCCTCAGGAGGAAGACTGGGCAATCTACTTCTGTAGAGGTAACCACCTCAGAAACCCAAGGAGGGGTCATTATGAGTCGAATCAACTGGATGGCAGTGAGTTGGTCTTTTTTTTGTTTGTTTGGCTTAACATTTATACCACTGCCCTCCATTTATAAGAAAAAAAAAAAGAATTATTCAGACAAACCTTAAACATGTTACCACAAAATTGTAATGAATTATCTAATTTTATGGTGTATGCAATATCACAGATCTCATAAAATTTCTTTAATTAAGTGGTGACCAGTTGAGGCTTGGTAATCTTTTCTTATTATACAGAGAGGTTAGTGGAAGGTGTGACTACTATATGGACTAGATGCCTGAATGGTAAAGACAATTTTTGAATATGAAATTCTACTTCCCCACCAATACAAAATTAAGTTCTTAAAAAAAAGAGCGAAAAGGAAAGATTACAATGGTATTAAGTCATACTTAAAAAAACACAACAAGATTCCAAAACTGTTCTAAGACAGTAATAATTTTAAGTGTCCCCAAAACTCACACAGCACAAACAACCTAGAATTTGGAATATCTGGAAAGTCAAAAAACAGGAAACATTCCTCTCAGGAACCCTTAACTTCTTACTCTTTTTCTACATCCTCACTTGCAAAAAACCTCCCAAGCATCTTCACTTTTATCAATTGTTCAAATTTTCCTAACTCAAATAAGAAACTATTATAGACCACGATATGCACTATGTGGACTGTAATAAAATCATGATTTCAAAATTCACAAATAACTTTTATTAACATTGCATTTCCTAAATATTATTAAACTCATACATGTTCTCAAAACCAACTTATTCATTATCAACTTTTTCAGTATCCATATATAATTTCGTTAGATGCTGTTAGGCCCTTCTTGCACATAAAAATGCATATTCTGTTTTCCTACTTTGATACATTTCCAAGGAATAATACCAAAAAAAACAAAAAACAACCCAAACTCATTGCCATCGAGTTGAATCCAACTCACGGCAACCCCTTCTTGGGTTTCTGAGGTAGTATCTCTATGGATGGGAGTATATTGCCCAGTCTTCCTTCCAAGGAGTGGCTGGTGGGTTTGAATCCCCAGCCTTCTGGGTAGCAGTCAAATGCCTTAGGCACTGTATTAGTAGCTACCATTTATTGTCTCCTATAGGTCAAACACTAAATTAGGCATTATACATATTAGTTAATTTAATTCTCAGAGTAACCTAACGAGCCCCATTTCACAAAGCCCCTTTTGTAAATTGAAATTCTAAGAAGTTAAATGAGATGCTCTAGACCACCTAGTTATCAAGCTGAACCCTAACTTGCACACAGGTCCCTTTAGCTCCAAAATCCCTGCTTTTCCACTATACTTATAGTGCTTCTTCATTTTGGCATGTAATATAGTATCTGTTTTGCTTTTTCATTGTCACCATCAATCCTCTGACATTTCCTCAATACATTTATACAAAAGGCTTAATTAACAGTCCTACTGAAAAAACAACAAATTCTCTATTATTCTAGCACAATTACTGTAATTCTGTTAATTTTGAGATTCAGCAGCAATTATTTTAAGTCAAAACAGAAAAACTAATATAGTCACTTTTTTCTATATGTAAATAATGTGCTTTCAAATCCTAAAACTTTAACATATGTTAAGAAAAATGTACAACTTGCACAAACTTCCCTTTTCTGTATGTCACTTTTATATCCCCTTTTGAATTGATTTAAAAGCACTGCATTTGAAGGCATTATTATTCTTAAATTATGTTTTTAAAATCAGGCATTCTTACCATGTGGGATAGATAATGACAAAATACAAAAATTGTTGACTATATTGTATACAGAAGTACTACTTACAATATCAGCACATAAAGTATATATAAATACTAAGTTCAGAAGCAGAGAGTATAAATGTTTAGTGTTGCATTTTTAGTAATTCATTCAAATAACGCTTTATAAACTGTCACACGTCATATTGTCTGATTCTTGCAACAACGTGAGGAGAATTCCACAGGTGAGGTTATTTCCTTTTATAGAGTAGAAAAATTGGGGCTTAGACTTAGGTTACCCAGGTAAATGGTACAAGCCTAGCCTAAAACAAAGACAAACTCTGTAATATATTAGTTCCTTTCTACCTCTCCTTTCACTAGCACCAAACCACTTAGCAGTAGTTTCAAACATACACAAAACTATCAGAAATTTTAAATATATCCAGAAAAGCCCATTAGAAAAGAAAAACAAATTAAAACACTACCTAATCATAACATTAGAAAAAATCAAATGGGCTCCATTTTAAAAAAATCGCTTTTTTTTTTTTTTTTTTTTGGTTATTGGTAATTTAGTTCCGTTTGTTTTCTTCGATTTCTTAATTTAACTCATTCAACAAATATTTCTTAAGCACCTACCACGTTCCAGGCATTATCCAGGCACTGGACGCAGACTAATTAAAAAAGAATCTCTGCCTTCACTGAGATTACATTCTAAAGAGAGAGAACCCAAACAATAAATAAGTAAAATAATTAGCTTATCTGATGGGGCAATAATTAGCTTATCTGATGGGGCATAGATGATAGAGAAAAAAATAAAAAAAGAAGGTAAGGAATAGGGGTGTGTATTGAGGAGTGAAGAGAAAAAAAACCTAGGATGTTGTATGTTCACCTTTCAAAGTTTATTATCCACATTCAACAGCTGTTAAATAAGTCATCAAAATACTAGATATTTCCATCTTCTCATACTTCAACAAATAAAAAGACAGGTACTTGACTCCTTGGTACTGCTGATCAGAATCTTGATTTATGTATCACATCTTATTTCTTTAAGGAAAATGCAAGCGTCAGGGCAAAAAGTTGGGCAACTGATGCAATTGACTTTAAACGCCAATTATTAAAACAATCGGGTGTGTCCTCGGCGTGTCGGACCTGTGGCCATCACTCGGGTGCCATGCGGCCACCGCCCTTTAAGAGGGCAGCACACGCACGTTCCCGTCAGTTTCTTGTTCACCCCAAACTCAGTGCTACAAGGGACCTCAAGTCGCCTTGAGGCTTATGGCCTTTGGCCGGCGCTCTCCAGTCCCCAGAGGCCTGGCCTCTACTTTTTCTCGCCCGTCCTACGCAAAGCACGGCCAGTTGCGGCCACCTCCTGAAATCCGCCCACTGACCCTCGCCAGCTCGGCAGCAGAGGGGCCGCCCCCGTCCGCCGCCGGCCCCTTGCCGGCTGCCACGTAACCCTTCGCGGGAACCAGGAACTGCGCGGCCAGCGGGAGGGGGCGGAGTGCGTGTCAGCACCAGGGGCGACGAGCGGCCCCCACCCCTCCTGCAGAGGCGAGGCCCACTGGGGCTCCGCATCTCCCGCCCGGCAGTGGGGTGCAGGGCTGCCGCCGGCACCGGGTAGAGCAAGGCCGGCCCGCACCTCTGGGCGATGGGGGCCGGCGCCTCCTCCGGCCCGGGCCAAGTGTCCCGCCGCACCGGGCAGAGGGGCTGGGGCCGGCAGCCTGGGCCCGAGGAGGGGGCAGTAGGCGGGAGGCTGGGGCGCGGGGCGGGCTCACCTCGAACATGAGCCCCAGCAGGAAGACCATCGCCACACAGGAGACGATGTCCGCGTGATTCTGCAGGATGAATTCGTGGCTCAAGACCGGGGGGCTCTTGGTGCTCTTCTTACGGATCGCCATGGTGGGGCCGCCGCCCGTGCTTGCAGGTGCTTCGCCCAGGCCCCCTCTTCTCTGTTGCTCACCGGCAGGCTGCCACCGCTGCCGCCTTCCCTTAGCTGGCTGCTTCTCACAGCCTCCCGGCAGCCGCTAAAGCTTCACTTTCCATCCCACAGCCAGTACGCAGCCGCCCGGGGGGAAAAAAAAAAAAAAAAAAACGCGGCAGGAACGAGTCTGCGCACCAGGGAGGCGGTGCTGGCTTGTGCCGCGGCCGCCCCTGCGGGCCCACAGCGTTATCTACTGGCCGGAGGCCGCCAGGCAGAAGTAAAGGGAACCGAGGGGCTAGCCCCCAGCTTGGCGCCAGGTTGGCGGTTGGGAATCGTTTGGGGCGCGAGCTTCCCGCCTCTGGTTGAAGGGCTAAGGCTGCAGGCAGGTTTGAGGGCGGCCGCGCGTTGTGGTGTGCACGGTCCCAAGCATACCTTCCCCGAACTTCTGCCCACCCTGGGCTTGAGGGTCAATGCCTTCTTCCGTGTTGTCAATTGTAGAAAGCCACTGCCACTGTCAAAATCTGAAAATATGACTGCGGCCTGACTATACACTTGGGCATGGCACAGTTTTTAGCTTTAGCATCTGCCTTAAAATTTAACCTCAGAGTTATTTTAAACACTCCTAGAGACTTTTCCTTATACTTTGCAGACTGGGACTGGCTTAAAAAAGAAAACAGTTATTTTTCTATTTGAATCTCGCCTCCCTACCCGCATCCCACTTTTCTCCATCTGTACTGGTTCATAGACTAAAAAGATGGTGCAGTTTGGGTTTACTTGCTTTATGCCTATTAACACTTTTTAGTAATCTGGAGAGATGGTAAAGAAAAACTGAATTAAACAGGTTCTTTTCTTTCATCTTTTTACCCAAACCAGAACTCCTTTATATTCTTTCTCTTGATGAATTGCACTACATTTACCCAGTCATAATAGAAACCAGTCATCTTACTGGATTCCTGTTGTAGTTAAGGTGTGTGTCAACTTGGTTTGAGTGGCTTGGCAGCTGGAGGTAGTTATTTATTCCCCATAATGAGATTGTAATCACCTGCATGCTGGAATCTGCGGTGAGCACTTTATCAGTTGAAGGGGTGTGGCATGCTTCCAGTATGTATTGGAGAAGCTTTCAGAAAGGTTTCTAGCTTTTTGGCACATCTGGATCCTGTACTTGGGAGAGTCTTCATCTCCAGTTCCTGGACTTGAACCAAAGGGCTGCCAGTGTTGCCTGCAGTCTTGGGGTTGTGCCACTTTACTTGCTGACCTTGGGTTTGTCAGCTCAGCAGCCAGCAGCTGCCTGAGTTAGGAGATGCCTCCAGCTCCTGTGGGCTTGGAATAAGAGGCAGAGCTAAAGCCCAAGGTCCAGGGGCTTTCACCCAGCCCCTGGAGCTGGCACTCTGAATTCACACTTCTGGCCACCTGAACTATGATTCCTGTTTGTTAAAGCCATCCACTTGTGATATTTCTGTTCTGTTATAGCAGCACTAGAAAACTAAGACAATCCCCTTCAGTATCCCTCCATATCCAATCTACTCCCAAACCCAGGCAGTTCTATACCACTTTTCCTGCCCTACTGCTCCAGAGGAAGAATTTATATTTTGTTTGCAATATTAATGCTTTGATGGAATCTTTGACTAGATTAAGAGCATGGGCTTTTGAATCAGAATTCTGCCACTCATTATCTATATTTGTCCATGGACAAATTAATCCCTGTGAAACTTGATTTCCTCATTTATTTATGTGTCATGTAATAAACATTTATGGGGCATTTACTGTGTGCTAGGCACTGGGGATATAACATTGAACAAAATAGACAAATGAACCTATTCTTATGATCTTTCATTGTAGTAGGAGAGTGCAGTGTAGTAAATTACTTAGTATGGCTTTTCTACCCATAAGTCATTGTAAACTCAGTGGTGGAATGAGCAACTGAGGAGCTGATTGTAAATATTATCCAAGTGGAGTATTTCTGTTGGGCGTGGCACAATATAATGTTCTGGGAGGTGCCCACTCTCTCTCAGGTGCTTAGAGTTCT